CACACACACACACACACACACACACACACACACACACCCCTTGCTAATTATGTATAAATTTAGTTTTTTGTATGTTTTCAGGTTTCACCATCTGGTATTGGAATTGTTATGTGTGTTTTCTTAAAAATTTTGGGCAGGCAGACTGACAGCTGAGAAACCAGCATAGGACTGTTCCAGGCCCCGTAAGTGAGAATATCAGTTTGGAGGTCTGGGTAATGTATGGGGCCTCTGGTAGTAGATCAGTATTCTTAGTATATGAATGGACTTTGGGAGCCCTCTCCACATAGAGGGATACTCTTTCAGCCTAGTCACACAAAGAAGTGTCTAGGCACTTCTCTAAATAATATGACAGATTTTGAAGATCCCCCATGCAAAGGCTAGCCCTCCCTGGGTAGCAGAACAGGTTGTTTCTAATAAAAAATACTCAAAGAAAGAGTGATTATAAAGTAGAAAAATAAAAAAAAATTGGGTGAGTTGTAGTATCTGCAACATTTGTTGCTTTACTTCAAATGACAGAAAGATTTCGATCTTTTGATAATTGCTATCGACACTAAAGTTACCATGAAACTCAAGCTGCCATCAATATACTCTTAGTTTCAAATACATACTTTCAGTTAATTATTTGATATCAAGCCCTCTCTTATTCTTCCTCTACTGTCTGTGACCTTAGGAAACTTGTATTTCTGCTCAGCATCAAGTAGTAGGAGAGGAGGGCCTGTGGAAACACACCAAGGTAGCCCCATCCACCAGAGTGACCCTAGAGGATATTTATCCTCTTTCTTTCATGACTTCTGTGGCTGCAAAACTTAGAAGCAATTGTGTTTAATAATGCTTCAGAGACTAATTAGTAAGGTATATGATCTCTGATTATTCTTTAATTTATAGCTATATTTTGGTTTGATCTACTATTTTCGTAACTGTATATTTTTAAGTTTTTGAAATTTCAATATGAATTCATCCTTTTTCCATTCCATTTCTTCTCTTCTAATCCTGACATACAATCCCCCTTGTTCAGTTTGATAGTAGTGTTGGTGAAGGATTTTAGGGAAAGGTATGAAGAATGGATCTATATAAACATACAATATTTATATATTTATATTTTTACATTGAATAATATATTTTTAAGAAATTAGGATAACAAAGAATAGAAGGGTTAGCTTCTGGCTATCTCCTCCATGAAGACATGTATGCCAAGTCCACATCAAAACTGCTTGTGCATGCATATGCAGATACAAACACACACACACACACACACACACACACACACACACACACACTTTCATTTTCCTTTTCCCTTTTCAATTCATCATCTCTTTTTCATTGTTTCTTCTTACACGGATACATAATCTCATCCTGTTTCTCTTTGTTTTTCTCTGTTTCTCTCTCTCTCTCTCTCTCTCTCTCTCTCTCTCTCTCTCTCTCTCTCTCTCACACACACACACACACACACACACACACACACAGAGAGAGAGAAAAATAACACTCCTAAATACCTAAATACAAAAATAAACAATATATGTTAGAAAAGATAAAAATCCAATTTTACTGTATTATTCATTCATGAGAACATTTGAGAAAAAATTTTACCTCAGATATCTTGTGGAAAATTGTAAGGAGAGTTAAGTGATTATTTGTAAATGTTATTTTTGAGTAAATTATTTATCCCATATGATTTTGTATTTACAAGTGGGTGGGGGTGTGTGTAGTGTCAGATTACAGTCTGTTTTGATAACAGGAAGTGTCAGTGTGATGCTCCTCTTTTGTTCTTTTTTTTCGGCATAATTTCATTGACAATGGATTTCTCATGGTTCTGTACAAATGTTACAGGAATGTATTCATTATCACAAAATTAAAACACATATGTGGATCTATTGGCCCACTCTATGTAATGTCTACATTTCTTGTGAATACTGAATTCATAATAATATTAAAACTACTTTTCTAGGAAATTGGGACTCTCTCTAACATATGTTGGTCTTACCAATCATGTGAAATTGATATGTTGTTTACATTTATATTGTTTATAGTTTGTCACTATTCCTAAAAATTTTCCCTCTTATTTCATAATCCTGATGTAAGGTCTCCCAAGCCTGCTCATGATAATCTCAGACTAAAGCACCGGGAAATGCTTCACCCCAACTTCTGCAAAGGCTTCATTGAAGACATGCTCACCATACCTAGCTTGTGGTATTGTAAATCTTCTTTTTTCATATTCAATTACTAATTTCTTGCATGTAATATTCCATTACATTTTTATGTTTTCATGTATTAACATGTCTGGTCACCATATTTGTGCATGACTTACTATTTCTATAAAAATCACAAGATGTTTTTCCAAATAGACATAGTTCATGTTACTTGCCATAGAAACACCTACTGCTCATTTCTTGCAGTAATTGCCCTGAGATCAATGTCCAGTGAATGTTCTGTGAAGTGGCATCCACTTGTACATTTCCTTTATGACTTTTGGGAAAGTATAGAAACTTTTAAGATTCTAGGTATTTCATTCTTAAATTCATAATATTCCAGTTATATTTATGACCTCATATGATGATTATTTTCTTCTTAACAAATATGTATTCATACATTCATATAAATTTTGGCTATTTTAATTCTAATTATCTTTCTTCTTCTCTTCTGCTGAAACTGCACTTTCCAATTCACTTTGTCATAATCTTTTTCTTATCAAAAATATGAGAATTTAATACAAGACAATCATTTATATAATAGCCACATAACTATCTCTCAAACTCTTACTATGCACTAATCAGTACACTTTCAAATTCATTGCATCCTCATTAATTATTTTGTTACACATATACACATCAAAATACATATATATTAATATATAAGGATAACATATTGAATCCATGTGTTGTTCCTAGCTCTACAATATTTAGTAGATATTATGATAAAAATGGTAATATAGTTAGGCATTATGTTTGATGAAATTGCTGATAAGGGCCTCTAATTCCACGGACTCCCTAACCTTGTGTTGATTGCTGATTTAAAATATTAAGCATGATTTATCTGGTTTTAGGCAGGACTTGGGTCAAGTTATTGAGATAGTTATTGATAAGACATATGAGCCAGTAGAGCACCCTTAGCTATATCTAGCCACACTGGTCATTGTCATTCAAAGGTACCATAACTAAATTGGACAATTTTATATTTTTCTTCTTAACAGCTTTCCTATTGCCTTACATGTCTCTGAAAGACAATCTTCTGGTGTCTGGGACTTATGTAATTTCTTTTCAAGTATCTATAGATCAATTTAAAAAAAACATAGTGTTTCAGCAACGAGGACTTAATATCCATTTATTTGAAGCAATCATGAACACTAGCATTAGACTATATTATGAGAAGTCTCCTGGACTCCCTCATCAACACTTTGAGATGAGTTTCTCCTGACTGCCTCCCATACTCTTGAATCCTCATAGAACTTCTCTCCAGAAATGACTTTTCAGAGGGTTAGTTATGTAGTTCACTTATTCATCTTTTTAAAATTTAACTACTTAGAATATTTTTTACTAGCTGATCAGTAAACTTATCCAATTCTATGTTGAAAATACTGGATTCCCTTGATTGAGATATCTTCTTTACTTGTTGTGCATTTTGATTTTGATTTCATTGTTTATTTGTTATTTTGTGGTGCTTGCTATTTTATAATTTATCATTTTATTAGGATTTGTGATCCATAAGAGGCATTATACTGGGTAATTTATGTAATAGAAGGTAGGTTTTGAAGAGACATGTGGTGATATCCTGCAGTAAATGGGGCTTGTATGCAGACTGCCATGTCTTCTCAGGCTCCTACCACACCTTACCTGATTGACAAGTATTGTTCCTGCAAAGTCCTGTGTTTGTGTCATCATACTTGTTTGTGTTTATAATATATTTTACAAAATGGATATTTTGTCTTAAATGCAATGCTTTCCTCTTCTTTTAGTCAATTTTGCCTCAAACTTAGACTATTTTATTAATACTGCCTTATCTTATTCAAAATGTATTTTCTTTGCTATGTTTTTTTTTAAATTTTTTTCTCCATTTTTATTTACATTAGAAACAAGTTTATTTTACATGTCACCCAAAGTTCCCTATCCCTCCATCCTTGCTGACCCCCCTACCTTTCTCAAACTAACACCCTACCTTTCTCAAACCCTTTCTGCTCCCCCGGGAGGGTGAGGCCTTCCACATGGGGGTCTTCAGAGTCTGTTATATCATTTGGGATAAGGGCCTAGGCCCTCCTCCATGTGTCTAGGCTCAGGGAGTATCCCTCTATGTGGAATGGGCTCCCAAAGTCCATTTTGATGCCTGGGATAAGTACTGATCTTAGATTCCCGAGGTGTCCTGTCTGTCACCTGCTGAAAAACTTATTTTGTAGGAAAAACTGCTGCACACCTTGCATTGAATGCAATGTTCTCTTCTGGTACTGAATGAAATGGGCAAAATGATGACACTTGAGGAAAAGTGGTAGAAATCATGGAGTTTACTAAGTAAATTGCTGTGACTATCAGCAATGTTTGTTTACATTTACATAGTCCTGTCTGAATGAAGTTCAAAATTAGGATGATAAACAACTGTGCAACTCTCTTTCTCTCTACCAACTTGATTTTATAATAAAACCACAATATTATTTAAATTAGATTTTCATTAGTGTAATCTTTTTACATTGAACATAAAGAAACGTTATATCAGAGATGCTAATTTGATGCAAATATTAAAAGTGAAAGAAAGTGTAGCATACATTATTATCAGCCTTGTCACATACTGCTCAATGATTTTTTTTTTACTTGTCAGGAACATAACACACTACTTAAAACTCTCTTTTTCCTTTATCTTTCCATGTTACACATTCAATTTATCCATTGACATGTGTTTAAATTTTTGAAATTTTAATATAATGTCATAATTTCTCCCTTCCATTTCTTGTCTCCTAATCCTGGAATATAATCATTGTTCACTTTGAAATTCATGACCTTTTCTTCATTACTTGTACACACACACACACACACACACACACACACACACACACCACAACTAAATACATAAATAAATAATCAACTATAAGTGTTATGTGAATGAAAAGTCAATTTTCATGTGATATCCACTTGTCCTAGAACTTTTGAGAAACAATTTACCTAGTATTCCTTTTTGCATTTGTAATATGAGTTAAATGATAATAAGTATATGATAATTTTAACTCACAACTTATCTCAAATAATTTCATATTTCTATAAGTGAGTGTTTGTGTTTGTGTGCATGTTGTTACATTGTAGTAAGTTTACAAACAAGAAATGTGAATGGAATTCAGTGAATTTGTTCTTATTTTCAGTATAATTTCATTGATACCAGATTTACTCTGGTTTTGTATATATTTTATAGTTATGTTGATCATTAGGACAAAGGAATGGCACATATAGTAACCTCAATATTTGCTGCATCTAATCTGTACTTTACTTGTGAATATGCTATATATATATGTATATATATATATATATATATTAATATTAACACAATTTATCTAGGAATTTATTAATCCTCATTTTGAGCCTACTAATTATGAAAATGATTTATTGGTTGTATATATACATATATATTATAATTGCTTTTGGTTCTTAAACATGTTGGTTTCCTTCTGTGTTATTGACATATGACACATCATCCTACTCATTATTATCTCATGCATAGGCCCTGAGGATGGCCTTCTCTGCTTTCTCTAGAGAAGCTTTCACTGAAGACTCAGACACCACACGTGGCTGATGGTATTGTAATTTGAGGGGCTTTCTTATTTTATATTTCACTATAACTTTCATGTGTGTAAAACTCCATTAAATTTTTGTTTCTGTGCATTAGCGTTATTGCTCACCATAGTTTTAACTCCATATATTTTGTACATGTCTTACTATTTCTTTAGAAATCACATGATGTTCTTTCCACTTATATGTAATTTACATTTCTGGACACAGAAAAACCTGCTGTTTGTTTTCCCAACTAATTTCCCTGAGCACAGTCTCCAGTAAATGTTCTAAAGAAGTGTCATCCACTTGAATCTATTCCTTTGTAACTATTTGTAAAGCACTCTACCTTTTATGATTATAGGTATTGCCTTCCTTTTAATCTCATGAAATTCCAGTTGCATACCTGATCTGATCCGTTGAGTCTTTTCACATCTTGCATTAATCTTCATTAATAAATATAATTTTCATAATTTGTACAATGAGTTTTGTTCTTTTAATCCCAAATTCTTCATCTTATCCTGCTCTGCTGAAACCATACTTTCTATGCCCCTTACTGTTTTTTTTTTAAGAAGTAATTACTTCATAGAAATCTAGTGTATCTACATAATTTCCACATCTCTGTCCCTGCAACTTTTTCAATGTGTTCCTAATTCTTCCTCAATATTCATGACCTCTTCATTATTATTGTTGATTATACAAAATAAACATACACCCCCCACACACACACCTATAACAGAATCTGCTGAATCCCATTGATGTTTTGGGTCAATAATATTCTTTGTGTATAAGGACAGAGTTTGCAAAACAGTTAGGGATTATACTGGTTTATGAAAGTAGTGGTAATTTCATGTAAGTTATATGGGGTTATCACTGACATTATCTTTTATGCCATCAAGTAGCTTTAGTGGTGGACAAACAATAGGAGCCACTAGTTTATATTTAATTATATCTTGCTATGCTAGTAATTCAATGGCATCAGACCTAGACTGGACACTTCCTCACATTCCTCCCTGAACTGCTTTCCTAACACCTTCCTGGTCTCTGAAAGCTTGTTCTCAGAGATAAAGTTTGATATACTCAAGTTCAAGTTCTCCTTGATCCAAATAAATGCAGTGATACCTGCAGTGGGGATAACCCTGTCATTTCTTAGAATCAACCAAGTGAAATATTAATGGACTGTACTCCTTTGGAAGACCTTTGGCCTCCACTTAGAAACAATTCAAAAGTGGTTTTATTCTGCCTATATCTAGAGGTATTTTGAGATTACATATATTCTCCTAGTGGGTGTATTATCTCTCTTTATGTTACAGAGTAAATTTTTTGCCCTTTCGTTTGACTTTATAAGAGAGTAGGAGGTTTCCCTAAAGAGGCATAGACAATAGAAAGTGTGATGAGGGATACCACTAAAATGAGGTCACCTGGACAATCATAGTCATTAGAGAAATCACAGGATAACAGTCTTTTTCTCCTTGGTGGCAGGTATCCTTGATACATATATGACTGATTTCTACCTGGGAATGCCACATCAGTGACAGAAGTATCAGCAAGCAGATGCAGAGGAAACGTGGCTCCTTCAGTGTTTACAGACAAATGTCACTCATGATGAGATTCAGCTCTGAGAGATACTTCTGTTATAAGGTAAAAATTGTAACAGAAAGCAGGGTGAGGCTGACATTTTGGCAATGGCTCCCTATACAACAACTATATTGGATAAAAGAAAAGAATTGCAAATTTCAGGTAGTATTTTTATAGGTATTGAGACCAAAAGTTTAATAGGGCAAGTTTAGACCAATAATACAGAGCACCGTCTGGCAATCCGAAATCTGGAACCTGATGGAGCCATGTAGCAATAAGTTTAGGTGTCCGTGGTAATGATCATCAAAGATTATAGAACACTGAAATGTCTAGAGTTGCAGAAAACTTCCACCTGATCCATTTTTCATTGATTTTTTTCAGTGGCATATATGTAATTATGTGTAAGTAAAGAAAACTGCTGAATCCTTCAGCACTTGTATATTCCTCATATAGAGTATACATGCATGTGTTTAGAGCTGTATTTTTTGTCTCATCTTTCCCATCAATGGGCTCACCCTCGAGAAGACTGCTTCTTCATGTTTTAGCCTACATCATTACAGGTTATCTTAAGCTAGCATTCAGACCCTGTGAGTTTCTCCCATCCACTTTGGCATTTCAAGTTAAAGTGTCATTTTATTTTCATTAAAATTTTATGTTCTTATTTTGAGATATAAACCGTGAACTTTTTCTGTCACACACAGAAGATACTTTCTCACAGCTGACACACTATTCCTCTGGATCTTTTGGTAGTCCTGTCACCTCTTCCGCAATATTATCCAAGTGTGGAGTGCTGAGTGAATTTTTCTCTTTTATTCATCAATTGCTATAGGGCATAATAGAGTCAGTTTCATTTTGACCAGTGGATTATTTTCATGGTATCTTTCTACTGGAAAATGAAGCTACTTTGCTAAAGGTGAGTCCTACACTGATCTGTGGGTAAAAGGATAAATATTTTAGATGCATATAGAAATTTTACTGCCTTTAAAACTTCTGTCTGTAGGTTCTTTTATATCAGTGTCTATGGTTAGTTGGCTGTGTTTACTCTGTTTGGCATAATTTTTGCCTTGACAACGATACAAGTCTTTTCCATTGACCAGAGATATCACAAACAATTTACTTGTGGATTTTCAGTGCCAGGCCTATGATAACCTAGTAGGGGCTAAGATTTAGGAAATGATGATGCTTGATGAAGATTAGGAAAATCATGAATGTCACATAAGTTCTGCAGCAATGTTACCCCAATGGCCACCATAAGATTGTATGGTGGTAAAGTGCAGCCCAAATGTAAGCTGAACTACATTCAAGGTTCTCTCTATGACATTAATAGTGTAAGAAATTTTAAAATCAAATTTATGTGGAAGTAAAGTAAATGTGAATGTTTGGAAAGAAGCTTGGCTCACATGTGATGTGGAATGTGGTAGAGATTCCTATGTGCTGCTCATGCTCCCTTACATCTTAGTGGCTCACACTAGAACAACATAGACACTTTCCTACTTTTTGATATTTCAGAAAAATAAATTGAAAACTTTGGTGACACTCAGCGTTATGCAAAAGAATTCTGGAGATGAACAAAGAATGCCCACCTTATGGTCCTTGAATTATATAAATTGGTCAGCCTTATGGCCCTTTAATTATATCCAATACCTAATCTTATTGAACTTGAAATATATTCAATGAGTTACTTCTTTTTTTTTACGGTCAAGTAATGCCTGGGGGGATGTTGGCTCAGACAGAAATACACTTTTAATCATGTGCACCAGAGTTTATTTCCAGAATATGGAAGTAAACATCCAGGGATAATTGTGGATTTGCAATTCAAATACATGATAGACATTGACGGATATTTGAGTGTTGCTTGACAAAGAAAGTAAGGTAATTTGGTGAAGTTTCATGAGAATTATTTCCTACATGGGCCAGAGGTAGTAGATGTTTAAATCAATTAGTATTTGCCTAACATGACAGCATAATTGCACATGTGAATTCCTAGCACTTTTAATGGCATGTGTCAGACTTGGCTTGTCCCAGATCAAGCTAGAAAATCTCATCAAACAAGTGAAAGACCTTATGATATCTCAATCATATTTTAGTAGCTACTGGTATTTATTTGTTTATGGAGAAGGGACAGTCATTTTTCTTCATGAGCTTTTGCTCTTAGAAGAACATCCGTGTTTAAACAGACAGCCCTAAATGGGTATTATAAAGCTTTTCATTACAGAGCTCCACAGCTCAATAATTTAATTGGTATTTTTTTATGTCATGGTCTCCATCAAGGAGAAGTTTCCTGTTGCACCTTGAAGACCAAATATATCCTTGGATATGACGACAAATAGTTACAAATTTAAGAGATTATGCTGATTTAATTTAATAAATTTAACGTAGTAGATTCTCCTCCAATAATCATGATTTCACTACCACTGAGTAGTTAACTATGTTTCCAGTGCTAAGCATAATATCCCTCTTGTTGTGCAGGTCATGGGTGTAATTTGAAAGTTGTTGGCCATATCCAGTTATGTGTGTTAATACTGCACCTTTAGGGTTATGTTGTTCTGTTGTTCATTAATGTTGTTTTTAGATATCACAGATGCTTAAGAGTGCTTATTGCATTCCTCTGTTGGATGCATGCACAGTCCTGATAGATATTACTAGAAAACTCCCGATACACAAAGCTTAGGCAATTTTGAATAAAATGTGGCAGAAAAATTGCAAAAGCAATATTTTCAAGAATTTTTCTATGATAGTATGTATTTTAGTAATATCAGATGCTCTGCCAATAGAGTCTCAGCAACATGACTGGCCAAAAATCATCTGAATAAGATGACACAAATAAGCATGGCAAACTGGAGAAATAAAAGCCCTAAATTACTCAATACACAAAGTTCTATATGTAACTGAGGAAATCTTAATAAGGCAGATGCCATTCTTAGAGATGTGGACACTAATTTGTTGTATGCTACCCAATTGTCTGCTTTGAAAAATACATTTAATCTGTCACCAGTGATCTGCGCACCATACCGAATTTGGCAGTGGGATCCAACACACTGAGGCCCTGTGGCACTTCTGCCTCCATCCGCTGGCTCAGGTAGGCCAGGGGCTGTTTCAGGTTCCCGTTTGTAGTCACTGTTCAGAGTCATCTAACCCCAGTGATCTGCTTGCCAGATCCAAATTCGGCACCAGGATCTGACACACCGAGGACCCGCTGGCTGGTCTGTCTCCATCCACTAGCCCAGCAGGACCCAACACATCTGAACACTGCTGAGGCCCTGGTAACAGTGCCACCTCCATCCAATAGAAGAGGACAGACATCAGAGTATTGGATCTGTTTGCATCTCCCAGAAGAGAACCTTGGTCCCATACCCACCAGGAGAGCAAGAAACTCCTGCTACACCCAGCAGAAGAAAGGATGAGAAGAGGACTAGGTAAAAGCACATTCAACAACAGAAAACTCAATATGACACCACTGGAGACTAGGAACCATACACCAGCAAGACCTGAACATCACAATGCAGATGAACCAGAAGAGAATGACCTTAAAAACATCTTCAGAAAAATGATAGAGGACCTCAGAGAGGACATGAGAAAATCCCTTAAAGAAATGGAAGAAAAACAAACCAAAAAGTACAAGATATCAACAAATCTCTCAAGGAAACAGTTCAAGACCTAAAAACTGCAATAGAGACAATAAAGAAAGCACAATCTGAAGGAATGCTGGAAACAGAAAAGCTGGGTAAATGATCAGGAACTACAGATGTAAGCATAACTAACATAATACAAGAGATAGAAGAGAGAATCTCAGGAGTTGGAGACACACTGGTGGAAAAAAGTTTTATCAACCAAAGAAAATCTTAAGTCCAACAAATCCCTAACACAAAATATCCAGGAAATATGGAATACTGTGAAAAGAGCAAACCTAAGAATAATAGGTATAGAAGAAAGTGAAGAAATCCAACTCAAAGGCCCAGAAAACATAGTCAACAAATTCCTAGAATGAACCTTTCCCAGCCTGAAAAAATACATGCCAATAAAAATACAAGAAGCCTACAGAACACCAAATAGACTGAAGAAAAATAAATGGTCTCCTCACCACATAATAATCAAAACAACAAACATACAAAGAGCAACAAAGGAAAAAGGTCAAGTAACTTATAAAGGCAAACTTATCACAATTTTACCTGACTTTTCCATGGAAATTCTGAAAGCCAGAAGGTCCTGGATAGATATTCTACCTACACTAAGAGACCATGGATGCCAGCCCAGACTACTATACCCAGCAAAGCTTTCAATCAATAAAGATAGAGAAAACAAGATATTCCTTGACAAAACCAGATTCAAACAATACATATCCACCAATCCAACCCTACAGAAAGTTCTGGAAGGAAATCTGCAACCCAAGGAAGTTAACTACAACCAGAAAAAATAGGAAATAGATAACCCCACTTTACCAACTGCCAAAAGTAAAAAGGGATAGAATGCCACACATAATCTCACCACCATCCCCAAATCAAAAACAAACAAGAATGAACAATCAATGGTCATTGGTATCTATCAACATTAATGGTCTTAACTCCCCTATAAAAAGACACAGATTAGCAGAATGGATGAGAAGACAGAATCCTTCCTTCTGCTGCATACAAGAGACACACCTCAACTTCAAAGCCAGCTGGTACCTAGTAATTAAAGGTTGGGGAAAGATTTTCCAATCCAATGGACCCAAGAAACAAGTGGGGGTAGCAATCCTAATATCCAATAAATTGGTCTTTAAATTAAAATCAGTCAAAAGAGATGAAGAAATTCATTTCCTACTCATCACAGGAGAAATCCATCAGGATGAAGTCTCAATTCTGAACATTAATGCCCCAAATACAAAGGCATCCAGGTTTGTAAAAGAAACATTACTAAATCTCAAATCACACATAAAACCGCACACACTTATAGTGGGAGATATTAAGACCCCGCTCTCACCATTGGACAGGAACATCAGTCAAAAAATTAATGATGAACAAAAGAACTAATAGATGTTATGGTCCAATTGGACTGAATAGGTATCTATAGAACATTCCATCCAAATACAAAACAATTTACCTTCTTTTCAGCGCCACCTGGAACACATTTCATTTCACTAATCTATATTTAACGATATTCAAATGACTTCATGACAGCTAATTTTTCTATGTCTCAAAATGTGAGTGAAAGTTGAATTTCTCCATAATTACTTTGCTATCTGTGTAGTTTGTCGATGTTGCCTATTTTTAGTAGTTCTTTAAGATGTTTAAATCAGTTTTATCATAGAAAAATACTAATATATCTTCACTATGGATGGTATACTTTATTTTTTTGAGACTGAGTTTCCCTGTTTCACTTATAGAGGAAGTGATCTGGTGTTGTCCTTGCCTCCATACATTTGTGCACATATAGTAGAACTCTCATACACCCAAGATCTTATAAACAAATACATTTAATTTTTCATTTTGGAGCACCTGTTTTCATTTTACAAATCTTTATTTTACCATATCCAAAAGCCTAAATGAAAACTTACTTTTCCACAGTTTTGAAATTTCAAGTTTTAAATCTTTAGTTTCCTAATTGTATATTCTGTCAATGTTGGCTATCTCATGAAAGTTCCTTATTGATGGGGGGATCTTCTTCTGTATATATGTTTCTCTTAGTGGTTGATGAATAAAACACTGTTCGGTAGGAGATAGACAGGACTGGGAGACAAGTAGAATTCTGGGAAATGTAGACAGAAGCTTGTCAGTGATTTCATGCTGCTGAGGTGTAACAACATGCCAGGTCATTAGTGGATAAGTCACAGCCTCTTGGCAATACATAGATTGATAGAAATGGATTAATAATCTAGACAAAACTAGCCAATAAAAGCCCTAGCCATCTGCCCACAGTTTCATAATTAATATACAGTCTGTGTGCTTATTTGGTTCTGAGAAGGACACTAGGAGTTGCACCATTTAAAAAAAGTATGTTATATATAATCATAAATACATTTTAAGCATTAAGAATACTCACATTCCTGTCTTCCTTTGTTGTGCCTTAATTTATGTTGTTTATCTCTGACACAGTTTCTGACCATTCTGCTTAGTGTGAGGACAACTCAAGTACTACAGCCATGCTCTCTCTCTGCATCCTGACAAGCTGACACCAGAGGAAACAACTTCCCTGAGTTATGGTATTGTAAAGCCACTTGTTTCTCCATTTAATTTTGTATTGCATTGCTCATGTAAATAATTTTATTGTTCCTTATATTGTGTTATATGTTATATTCTGGAATTTGCATATAAGTAGATGTAAGTAATTTTTGTTTACTGAGTGTGTCACTTTACAAATTGTTATGCCCTTTCAGAAAAACTGTAAAAATCTTTTTTTGCCCTTGGAATCAGACATCTAAGAACCAGAAATATGTAGTATTTATTTTCCACAATAACTGTTTAGAGCAAACCTTCCTGGAAATGGGAATGGAGCTGACAAGGGTGAATATTCTTGATTATCACTGTACTTTAACAATCTGCACATGTGCTACTTCCTTTAAAATGTATTATATCTTCTATATTCTGGAGGGTTTTTTGATTATTAATTAATATTATTTCCAATTTATTGTCATTGGATATGTGGATTCATAATATTCTTCACTTTTACAGTTTCAACTGTTTTATTATCCAATAGTCTTCAAGAAAGATTTTGAAATTTAAGCATTATCACAAACATGTTTTAATTATTGCCAGTATTTCTTTTTTATTTTAATTAGAAAGATTATTTTACATGTTAATACCAGGTCCCTCCCCCTCCCCTCCTTTCCTTCCCCCACAACTAATACCCTACTATCCCATACCCTATCTGCTCCCCAGGGAGGGTGAAGCCTTGTGAGCGGGTCTTCAAGTCTGTCATATCCTTTGGGAAAGGGCCTAGGCCAACCCCCTTGTGTCTGGGCTCAGGGAGTATACCTCCATGTGGGATGGACTCCCAGAGCCCATTCCTATGCTAGAGATAAGTATTGATCCATTGCAAGGGGCCCAATAGATTTCCAAGGTCTCCTCACTGACATCCACCCTTAGCGTATCTGTCTGGACAGTTCCATACTGGTTTCCCAAGAGGTCTCCCTTGTTCAGGTCAGCTGTTTCTATGTGTTTCATCAGCCTGGTATGGACCCCAATGCTCATCCATCCTCCTTCTCTGCATTAGGATTTCAGGTCAGTTCAAGGTTTAGCTGTGGGTGTCTGCTTCTACTTCCACCCTGCCAGATGAATGCTATACTTTGGCATATGAATTAGTCATCAATCTCATTATCAGGAGAGGGCATTTAAGGTAGCCTCTCTTCTGTTGCTTAGATTGTTAGGTGGTGCCATCTTTGTAGCTCTCCAGACATTTCTGTAGTGCCTGATTTATCTTTGAATTTATTATGTCTCCCTCTATTACATTATTATTGCCAGCATTTCTAAATGAAATTCTCTGCATAGTCAGGAAATGAAACAGCAATAAAAAGATGAACCTGGAAGGTAATAAAGAATAGATAAACTTTCATTACTCTCTCCAGAATTTTTCATATGTGGGTTGATGAAGAATATAGGAATGTATTTGAGCCATGAAGAACTTATTTTGTAGAAAAAAACTGTTACACAGCTTGTATTCAGTACAATGTATTCTTCTGTTAATGAATGAAATGGGAAAAATGATGACACATGATGAAAAGTGGTAGAATTCATGGGGTTTACTGTGAAAATTCCTAGGACCCTCAACAATATTTGTTTACATTACATAGTCCTAAATGAATGAAGTTCAAAATAGGATGATAAACAACTGTGCAACTCTCTTTCTCTCTACCACCTTGATTTTGTAAGAAACTATAATAATACCACAATATTATTCAAATGGAAGAAAGATAGCATTTTCAACAAATGGTACTGGCACAACTGGATTCGAACATGCAGAAGATTACAGATAGATCCATATGTGTCACCATGCACAAACTTAAGTGCAAATGGATCAAAGATCTCAACATAAATCCAGTCACTCTGAATCTTCTAGAAGACAAAGTGTGAGATACCCTTGAAAAAATTGGCACAGGAGACCACTTCCTGAATATTATACCAGTAGCACTGACATTGAGATCTTCAATTAATGAATGGGACTTTCTGAAAATGAGATGCTTCTGTAAGGCAAATGACACAATCACTAAGACAAAATGACAGCACACAGAATGGGAAAAGATCTTCACCAACTCCACATCTGACAGAGGGCTGATTTCCAAAATATACAATGAACTCAAAAAGCTAGCCACAGAAACAGCTGGCCTGAACACAGGGGATCACATGGACGCCAGACTGCTGTCTGGGAGGCCAGTAGAGGAGTGATCCAGTCCTCTGAATATCGATGTCAATGAGGAGGCCCCTGCACTCTAGGGGGCCCTTGGTTGTGGATTAGTATTTTTCCCTGGTGTAAGAAGGGACTTTGAGAGCCCATCCCACATTAAGGGATGCACTCTTGTCCTGGACACATGGGGGAGGGTCTAGGCCCGGCCCAGAATGATGTGCTGGACTTTGGACAGGCCCCATCCAGGGAATGGAGGGTGGATGGGGCAGGGGGAAGGGGTAGGTGGGGAGTATAGGGGAGGGTTGCAGGGAGGGGAGGGAGAAGGAGAAGGGATTGACATGTGAATCAAGGTTGTTCCTAATTTGAACTAATAAGAAAATTACAAAAATGAAACTATGATATATAGATTAGGGAACTGTAAAGTTAAATCAGAAGAAAAACTGAAGCACTGTGAGACGCAGAACAATATAAAAAGCCATTGAGTTCTTTTTGTGGTGACATGTAATGGCGAACCCAGCCTTTAAGGGAAGTTTGTATCTGAAGTGATATATCAATGGAGAATCTAAATTTTCATTTTTTTTTACATTTTGCATTTTTATTGTTTACATAATCAGTAAAAAATAATAGGTAAGTCTGCCATGATTTGATTGACCCTACCAAGGTTGGATCAAATTTGCTACAGTTTTTGTATAATGTTCCTGAGACAAGGAGTTATTTTGTGTACTCCTTTCATAAGTTAAGGGCTTAGCTAGACAGAGTCTCACAATTGGGCTACCTTCCTAGGCTTTAAATGCAGAGACGGTCCTTTTCTTGAACAGTGCTGAAAACCTTGAAAATTGCTTTTTGTTTTCCATCACTGGACTGCCATCTGAAACTACCTAATGCCCTTTTTCTTTATTTTTTCTTTATTTTTGTTCTTTTTTAAAACTTTAAAATGATTTATTTAAACTTCCCCCCCATTTTTATTAGAAAGATAATTATTTTACATGTCAATCCCAGGTCTCTCTCCCTCCCCTCCTCCCCTGCCCCCCCCAACTAATGCCCTACCCGTTTCATACCCTTTCTGCTCCCCAGTGAGGGAGGAAATAAATTCATTTTCTTCCAGTCATCAAATAGAGATAACTTCAGATTTAGGGATGGGTCTTGCACTAATACTCTCTGTTGGCCAATTACAGTAAGTTTTTCAGCAGAAAAAGTATTAGTTAAGATTTCATTTTCAGAATAATTTCATTTATACCATATCTATTGTGGCTGTCTACAAGTTTTATAGTCATTTTGTTCATTAAAACAAAAAGGAACGACAGGCATCGGGCCCTGAATACCAATTCCATCTCGTATCTCCATCACGCCTGAATATTACATTTATAATAATGTCAGTGCATATCAATTAGGAACTGGGCATTTTTAAACCTTATTTTGATGTTACTAATCTTATGAAAATACTTTACTACTTATATATGCATATATTATAATTCCTCAATATTTGTTCTTATAATTCTTTTTCCTTCTATGCTATTAACACATGACCTCATTATCATGCTCATGTTGATCTCAGACTCAGCCACTGAGAAGCTTATGGTGAAGACATAGATACCACACCTAGATGGTAACACAGTAATTTCTGTGGCTCTCTGCCTTTATTTTTCAGTAATATTTTCTTGTATGAACAATCCAATTAAGTTTTTTTTATGTTTCTGTGCATTAACATCTTTTCTGACCATAGTTTTAAATTCATATATTTTGTGCATATCTTATTATTTGTGTATACATGATATGATGTTCTTTCTATGTATATGTAGTTTATATTTCTTGCCACAGAAACATCAACTATTCATATTCTCCACTAACCTCCCTGAGCACAATGTCCAGTAAATGTTCTGTTAAGTGGCATCTATTTTCATCTGTTTATTTAACATAGATTATACAGTGATTAATTTATAGTGGGAAATTACCAATACGGAGTCAGGTAGAAATATAAGGGCATTTAATAGGGAAAAGCCTTATTTACAGAGCGACCTAGCCAGCCGGCGTGGCAACAGTCTGTCTAGCAACTACCAAAGTGAAACCAAAAGAGAAAATGCAGTCCCATGCAAGTATCACTCTACGTCACCCTGACCACGCCCCCGCAAGCCTGGTCAGGCACACCTGTAGCCAGTCCCTAAGTAGGCGTGGCTACAGCTTCCCCTATATTAATTAGCTTTAATTTTTAAAGACATACTTTTTATGCATATAGTGTTCTGTTAGTGTGCATTTCAACAAGCCAGAAGAGAGTACCAGATCTCTTATAGATGGTTGTGAGCTACCATTTGGCTGCTGGGCATTGGAGTCAGGATCTCTGTTGAGCAGCCAGTGCTCTGAACCCCTGTGCCATCTCCCCAGGCCATATATGTCACTTTTTAGTTTTTGGAAAACTATAGACCCTTTTAGGATTCTCAGTATTACCTTCCATTTTAATGAATGAAATTTCAGTTGCATGCATTACCTGAATTTTTAGGTATTTTCTTTTTCTTGTATTAATCTTTCTTCATAAATATCATGTTTTCATACATCTGTACAAAGAGGTCAAAACAATTTCATTGATACTGAATTTATTGTGGTTATGATCAAGTTTTAGAGTTATTTTGATCATTAAGACAAAGGAATGACACATTTGGGGACCCAAATGCCCATTACATCCACATTTCATATTACTTGTTAATATTGCATTTATAAATAATATAAGTACATCTCATCTAAGAATTTGTTACTTTAAACCTATTTTGGTTTCAGTAGTCATATGAAAATGATTTTCTACCTAAGTGTGTGTGTGTGTGTGTGTGTTTGTGTGTGTGTGTGTGTGTGTGTGTGTGTGTGTGTGTGTGTGTATTATAATTACACACTATTTGTCCTTAAACATTTTCTTTTTCCTTCTAGGATGTTGAAATATGACCTCATCATCCTGCTTATGAGGAACTCAGACTCAGGCACAGAGGACATCCTTCTCTGCTTTCTCCTGAGATGCTTTCACTGAAGACATAGACACCCCATCTGTATGGTGGTATTGTAATTTGAGGGTTTTCTCCCTTTTATTTTCCATTAGTAGTTTTTTATATTGTCTACTCAATTGATTTTTTGTTTCTGTGTATTGGAATGTCTTCTCCACATATATTTGAATCCATACATTTTGTACAAGTCTCAGTATTTCTGTAAAAATGGCATGATGTTATTTCCACCTAGTTTATGTCTTCCCATAGAAACACCTGCTAATTTTCTCTGCAATTTTTCTGAGCATAGTGTCCTGTAAATTTTATGTTAAGTGGCATCCACTGTTATCTCTTACCTTCTAATGTTTGGAAAATTACCGAACCTTTTTGGATTTTAGGTATCATTTTCCATTGAAATTCCAGTTGTATGCATGACCTGAGTTTTTGAGTCTTTTCTTCTTCTTGGATTAATCATACTTCATAAATATAATGATTTCATTTATGTGTGCTATGAGTTTTGGTCATTTTCATCCTAATTCTTCAACAAATCCTACTCTTCTGCTGAAATCATACCTTCTAAGTTTCTTTATTATGTGTTTTGAATTTTCTGTTTTAAGAAATTGAGTACTTCAGGCAGGACTACATAATTTCCACATTGCTAACTCTCCAGATCTTCCTGAATAGTCCTCATTTCACTCTCAAATTCATGACCACTTCATTATTGTCCCTGAGTACACACATGCACACACCCACCCAACTACACACACACACACACACACACACACACACACACACACACACACACACACCTATATAAGGACAACCTTCTGAATATCATTAGTATTCTTGGGTCAAAAATATTGTATGAGTATAAGGATTAGTTTTATAATGTAGATAGAGTTTTATAGTGTTTAATGAAAGGAGTGATAATGTTTACTATGTTTCATGGATTCACTAGTCACAGGAAATTTGATATTTTGCATTGTGAGGAATGACTTTCACTTGTTAGGCAAGTCTTGGATACCATTAGGTAGCTACTATTTACTGACAGCTATAAGAGCCACTAGTTTGTCTTTAGTGATATCTTGCCATGTTGGTCATTCAAAGGCATCAAAACTGGACTGGGCACTTCATCAATTTCCCCCCGTAACTGCTTTCCTAACACCTTCCGGGTCTCAGAAAATTAGTTTTCTGGCATCATTCTTGGATATAGTTGAAGTTCAAATTCTAATTGATCCAGATCCAAAATGCAGTGATTTCTGCATTAGGGACTTAAATGTCACTTCTTAGAAGCAACCAAATAGAGTAGTATTATTCTATCCTCTTATGGTTTTGTCTGGGCTTCCTCTTACCAATCCCTTAGTCTAAATGAGTTTTCTCCTCCCTGTCTCTAGAGGTATTTTAGAATATTCATTCCCCTGTTGAGTGTGTTATATTCCCAAGTGTATTTAATTTCAGTTAAATTTATTAACATGTGTTTTATGTATCATATCTAATTTGGGGGTAAATATAATATAATCATTTTTAGAATCCTTAATGTTTCTGTTTTTCTTCAGATTACCCCTTGATTCCTCAAGATAGAACTGCTTTGCAAAAATATCTAATCGACTATTACTTGGGTCATTCTGATTGTCCTCTTTAAATTTACAATATTAAATTTTATAGGTTTTGATCACTGGAATAATTCCCTGTTCTATAAAATTTCTTGATTCTATTAATAATCCACAAAGCAGCCTGCCAGCGTAGCTAAAATTCAGCTGATAATTCTATTTTCCTCCAGGATTTCTCCAAATATTTGTGTTATACAGAAACATAACCAACTTTCCATGAATTGTTTATGGAGTCTGACAAAGGTGAAAATGGCTTCACACACAGACAAGAGTATATAGGCAACATATCATGAAGTTAGGGGACTCTATGTACACAGGTATATGATAGATATAGTCCCTTGTGGGCAAAGACAATCTGATGAAATCCTTGGGTGGAAGTACAAGAATTCTGTAGATGGATAGAAGAAAATTGTAATTTTCTTTGGGGAGAATAATGATTTTGTTCTTTATTTGGGAAGAGACAAGTCACTGAAGTAAATTTGTATAAATAATGGAGATTATAATGAAAATTTTACCTGGTTGTTTGTTTTCATAAGAGAGTCCAGGTCATGATAGAGATTTGGAAAATAGAGTTTGTTGTGAGTTATATCACTAATACCTGGACAATGACAATGTGGCATAAAGTTGAAGGATAGTGTATAGTGTTATATGAGAAATTATAGTGTTATATGAGAACAGGGAATGGAAATTGTAACTAAGGTACATTCTCAAAAATGAAAGGATACATCCACTCCCCCTAATAACACACATGCAAGCACACACACATGAACACACACACAAGTATACAAAAACATATTCATACACACAATCCTAGATACACATACAAAAAAAGAGAAGTCTAAATTGTCAACGTTAACAAAGAATAGTGTTACTTGTGATGGTGGAGGAATTTTAGATTAGGGTATGGAGGTGGGCTTTTTAAAAACATACAATATTTATACCTGTATATTGAATAAAATATTTTATAAATTTTTAATAGTTCAAATTAGAAAAAAGCCTGCTTCACATGTCAATCCCTGCTCCCTCTCCCTCCCCTCCCCCTACCCCCCACCTGAGCCCACCTCTGATCCCCAGGGAGGGAGAGGCCCTAAATGTGGGTTCCCAAAAGTCTGTCTCATCATCCTGGTAAAGGCCTAGGCACTCCCTCATGTGTCCAGGCTGAAAAAGCATCTCTTCACATGGGATGGGCTCTCTAAGTCCTTTCTTACTCCAGGATTAAATGCTGATGTACTCCCAGAGGCCTCATAGAGTGCTCAAGCCTCCTCACTGACATCCACAGCATGGGTTGTTTAAGAAATGAAGTCACCACAGAAACAGTAGTAGATTTTGTCTCCAGTATGTTACCTACATGCACACCAAAACTGTATGTACACACACACACACACACACACACACACACACACACACACACCACACACACACCACAGTGACACACACACACACACACGCAGACAGAGAGACAGAGAAAGGGAGAGAGAGAGAGAGAGAGAGTTTCTTTAATGCAGGCATGTCTTTGTAGGGCAATGCGATATACATAAAGTTCTAATCAGGGCGAAGGCTCTTGCAATAATCAAACACTTGGGGCAAACTGACACAGGCAGATTGCAAAGGGTCAGAAGAAACTGGAATGTCCCACAACAAAATGGAAGCTTCTGGGCAATAGCCAAATGCTGTGAATAAGCATCCTAATACATGCTCAGCATCAAGGGTCCAATGAGTGGTTTTCCTCTGTTGTTAAATGCTGTGGGATCCCATGTCAAATAACATTTTATCCAGACTTTTCCTTTCAATTTTTCTGTGTTTGCTGCAACAGACAGAGAGGATGAGAGATAAATGAAACAGCAGCTTTGATGGAAATCTCCCTAGTTACTGCAGAGTTTGGATTTCTATCACTAGGTTTAGCCTCTCTCTCTCTCTCTCTCTCTCTCTCTCTCTCTCTCTCTCTCTCCCTCCCTCCCTCCCTCCGTCTCTCTCTCTCTCTCTCTCTTGAACCACAGCTATTCTCTATATTATAGTACACAGCCAATCAGAAGCAGTGACAACTCATGTAAATCCCCTCATGCAGGGCTTTAGCAGCCCATACTCCTGGTCGGATTCCAGCTCGTATCTGGTCTTAGTCTCTAACCAAGTCCTGAATACACACTTCTCCAAAGTTTTACCTAAAGTTTACATTAAAACCAAGCCTGTAATAATGTACCTCAAATTTTCAGACTTTTTCTTCACTTAATTGTGTGATACCAGGCCTGCTTGTTTGATTCTCCTACTGTCGGGACCCATAGGAAATTTTCTTTTCTTCAGCATTTTGTGCCAGGGCAGTAGCCTGTGAAAACACCAAGGTCACCAATCAATCTGTGAGGGCATAGAGGAACTTTATCGTCTTTTCAATAAAATTTATAGCTGCACACCTTAGAAAGTATTGACTTTATTAATGCTTCAGAGATTAATTTTAAGCCAAATGATCTTTGCATAAATTTAAAATTGTACCTATATTTTGGTTCATATATGAGCTGTTAATTTTATTTAAGTATATTTTAAAAATGACATTACAATATGAGTGCATCATTTTTCCATTTGATTTCTTCCTTCCAAATCCTCTCATTTAATCCTCCTTTTTTACTTTTAAATTTATGGTCTCTTTTTTATTGTTTGTTCTTTCACACAAATACTCTCTCCCTCTCTCATGGAAACACACAGTCCTAAATACATGAAGAAAAACAAGCGATGTGTTATGTAAGAAGAAAATCCAAATTTGCTGTATTTTTCATTTATGAGAACATTTGAGAAACTTTTTACCTAGTATATCTTTTGGCAATTTATAACATGAGTTAAGTGATTATAAGTAAATGACAATTTTGAGTGATTTATTTATCTCATATTTTATTGTTTTATAGAAGTGTATGTGTGTGAGGATGTGTGTAAAGTGTTACATTGCAGGAAGTGTGAATGGAATGCTCCTCTCTTGTTTGTTCTTTTTGTTTTCAGCACAATTTCTTTGACACTGGATTACTCATTGTCCTGTACAAATGTTATAATAATTTATTCATTTTGGACAAATAACAGCACACATGGAGATCTGCAAGTCCACTGTACATAATCTCTACATTACTTGTGAATATTGCATTCATAGTAATATTAAAACTGCTTGTCTAGGAATTGTGAAATTTCTGTATCTTATGAAGATTTTTCTAATCATGTCAAAATGATTATTTTTTTAAATGTATGTTTTACTGTTTCTAACTATTTGTTCTTAAAATTTGCCCTCTTATTGCATGATCCTGATGTAAAGTCTCAGACTCAGGCATGGATGAAATGTTTTTCCCCAACTTCTGTGAAGGCTTCATTGACGACATGCTCACTATAACTACCATGTGGTATTGTAAGTCTTGCTTTGTTTGTATTTTTCATATTAAATTACTAATTATTTCATTAACCATGGAGTTTATTAAAGAGTGTGACAGCGAAAGACCAAAGCAATGAGAGGAAGGAAGAGTGAGAGGAATAAGCAGAAAAGCTATGGCCTAAATTCAGACTGCATCATATTCTTAACTTTGCTGGCAGAATAAAAAAGTTTCAGTTTTGTTAGCGTTACTTACAATTCATTCTAAGACAGGTGTGATGTTCACATAGCTAGAAGTTGTTTCTAGGATATGCATAGAGAGTTCTCATTATGATAACATAACATATATGTTATAGTCTCCTATTGCAAACCTTTGCCACACTGTCCAACCCTGTCTATTAATGAGTTGTAGTAGGCAGATAAATTTAAACATGTCCACAGACTTTTTTATTTAAATCAGAAACAAGCTTCTTTAACAAGTCAATCTCACTTCCCTCTCCCTCCACTCTGCCCCTGCCACCATCAGATCCACTATTCCAACATCTTTCTGATCCCCAGGGCTGGGGGACATTCAAAGTCTGTCCACAGAAGTCTTTAAATTACCATGATACGCAGGAGTATATTTTAAGCCATACAACTGATGACCTGGAGAATTTAGCTGTGACCGTTTTGGAAGATCATCCAATGAATGATTATTTGCCATTTCCCTGTATATGTAGAAGAACAGGCACTATAAGGAGATTGTTACCTGATTACATAGCCTATCCCTTCACCTATTTTATGCAACTATGCTCAAAGTCAACAGGGACTCAGATTGGGACTTAAGTGTATAGGGTGAGAAAAATGAGGGAATGATGGATCTGTCTATGCCATTACAGTTAAGATATCTTTCTTCTAGGTAAAGTCATTCTGTTGTGGCATTTGGTTGGCAGTGCTCACACTGCAGTGATTATTTCATCTATGTGATGTAAGTAGTATCAATAGCGTTATTGGTTTCTCAGAGTTACCATGGTGGTAGTTATAATAAATAGTTCTGCTCTTTTGAACATATTGACTAGGAGTGATAGGTACAGTCTACATCTCTCTCTAAATGTTGATTTATTTGTTACACATGTGTTAGTGGGGTGCATGAACAATAATGTAGATGAATTTGGGTAATCAATCATGTTTTTTGTGATGTGGAGAATAAGAAAAAGTGTTGGTAGACATTTCTGTTCCCAAAACCACTCCCCAAATACCTGTACAGGAACATAAGATTTTTGTGTAGCTCTCACAATTTAATTCATTACCATTTATCTATGTGCTGCCCTGAGGCTCCATTATCTCCTGTACATACTTCCCATTCTGCTTGATTTGTGTCTGATGGCGTCCCTTTAACTCTACACTTCAACCCAGTGTTCTCTTTGCCATGAAAATCCTGCCAACACTTTGTCCAATTGTCATTTTAATAAAAACAATAGTCATTTGCCTTCACAGTGTGTACAGGGATTATCCATCAAAGTTGTATGAAGGGGCACACATTGCATAGGTAATATTTACATGATTGCGTGATTGTACAGTAAATTGGCAAGTAGTTTTCCAGTCATGGGATGTACAAGGATGTAATAACATGTCTCTATGGTGAAGCCATATTGGCAGAGTGTATTCATAGGGGAAATTAGAGTATTGTGGTCTTTTTCTCCATCATGTGCTATGTTAGGTATAGTTTCTGTGTGAACACATGGAGTCAGTTCTAGTGCTGACCCCTGTTGGGCATAATTTCAGTGGACAGATGAAAAAGCAACATGGGTGCTAACACTGGTTGCAGGTGTGAGACTTCATAAATAAATTGTGGATTGTAGAAGAAATGGTACAGATACCAGACCCACCACACCCATGATCATATGCACAAATATATTTAACTGTTCATTTTTAAGCACCTGCTTTCATTTCACTAATCTATATTGAACAATACACAATATCCTAATGACTAATGACAACTAATTTGTCATAAGTTTTTAAATACTAGTGAAAGAAGTTCAGTTTCTCCACCTTTACTTCTCTATTTGAATGTTGTGTCAATGTTGGCTAATATATATATATATATTAATTCAAGTTAGGGAACAGGCTTGTTTCACATATAAGTCCCTTCTCCCTCTCCTTCCCCTCACCCCCATCCCTCCTCCCTCACCTCCAACCTACCCTTCACCCCATCCACCCTCCACTCCCCAGGCAGGGTACGGCCCTCAAAAGGGGCTCTGCAAAGTCCACCAAATCTTCCTATGCTGGGCCTAGGCCCTTCCCAATGTGTCCAGAGCCAGAGTGTATCCCTTCTAGTGGGATGGGCTCTCAAAGTCCCTTCTTACACCAGGGAAAAATGCTAATCCACTTCCAGAGGCTCCCTGGAGTGCAGGGGGCTCCTTATTGGCATCCATGTTCAGGGGGATGGATCAGTCTTGTACTAGCCTCCCAGATAGTGTCTGGGGTCGAAATGCTTTCCCCTTTTCAGGCCAACTGTTTCTGTGGGTTTCTCCAACCTGGTACAGACCCCTTTGATCTTCATTCCTCCCTCTCTTCAACTAGGTTCCAGATTTCAGCTCAGTATATTTCTGTGGATGTCTGTCTCTGCTTCCATCAGCCACTGGATGAGGGCTCTAGGATGGCATAAAGAGTAGTCATCAATCTCATTTTAGGGGAATGGCTTTTAGGTTATCCTTTCTTCCATTGCCTGGATTGTCAGATCATGTCATCCTTGTTGGTCTCTGGAGATTTCCCTAGTGCCAGATCTCTTCTCGGACCTATAGTGGCTCCCATCTCTCATCCTGCTCTCTTTCCTCTATTCTTCTCCCTACTCAATATCTCTGCTCCTCCATTTCCTCTCCTCTGCTCCTCTTCTTGTGATCTTATTGTGGCAGCACCCTGTCCCCTACCCTCATGTTCACAATTAGTGGATTTCATGCCACTTCCCATTCCTGTGGTCTATTTATCCCTTAGAGTACTTCATGATTCCTAGTTTCTTTGATGAAGAGGATTATAGGCTGGTAAACCTTTACTCTATGTTTAAAATTCATATATGAGTGAGTACATACCATGTTTGTCTTTTTGTGACTGGGTTACCTCATTCAGGATGGTTTCTTCTAGTTCCATCCATTTGTCTGCGAATTTCAAGATTCCATTGCTTTTTTCTGCTGAGTAGTACTCCAATGTATAAATATACCGCATTCTCTCTATCCATTCTTCAGTTGAGGGGCATCTAGGTTGCTTCCAGGTTCTGGCTATTACAAACAATGCTGCTATGAATATGGTTGAACATATGTCCTTGTTTTATGAACATGCACTATTTGGGTATATACCCAAGAGAGGAATGGCAGGATCTTAATGTATATTGATTCCCATTTTTCTGAGCAACCGCCATACTGATTTCCAGAATGGT